TGCTGAGTGCAATGTGAATTTGATATCCTTAGACTGCAGTTAAGGCTTCTACTTCCTCGGTCAAACAGACAGTGAAGTTCTGTCATAAATTTGAAATCTTAACAATCTTAAATATTTATCTGTTTATTTACAATAAGCATGAATATTAAGTTTCGCGGAACAGACATCTTGTAGCAGACAAAACTAATTTCTGAAAACTAATTCCACATATTCATAAAAATAATTAATTACAAATTACATACATGGTCAACCGTATGAACTAACGATGTTCAATAGGTACTTACAAGTTTCAAACCTCGTGTTTATCATTCAAAAATATGTTCCGTACCTACCCCTTACCAGGAACACTTTTAGATTCTATTATGACGCCTTCGGCGAGACCGGAAAAATCAGCTTTCAGGTCCATCACTGCTGCTTGAGCCAAAATGGCGTCGTTCAGCGCATTCAGATTCGTTTGCTAAAGCGCAGTCAGAAGTCAAGCGAATTCCATTTCAGTGACTACATAAGTCACAGTAATTAAAAGCAAAAACAATCAACACCCTATTGCAGTGTCGGGCAACCGGTGTGCCGCGAGAAGTTCTGAAAAATATTCAAAGTTGCTAGTGTTTCTGAACCAAAGGAAATCTATATAAATAAAAATGTAAATCTTCAACTGTGCCTCACTCAATAACTTCGACAGTTCTTCACTGATGACCTTGCAATTTCAACACGGGGGTCCTTCCGATCGACTAGGAGCGTGTTCTTACGTCCCGCGCGCTACAGCAAAAAACAAATCTTTTGGTGAAAAAGAGCATCATGGACAACAGTGCTATGTGCCGGAAGTCGCTGCGACACTCGGAAGAGTGACGTTGTCGCTGGGGGGCGGCGTTCGAATAACGCGATATTTAAGCATTGGAGACTAAAAGATGTGGATGTCATCGGTCGGTCGGCGACTAGACCCTTCCCCAACACCGTACGATCGTACCGTTCATCAGCAACTGATTTTGATCTCACTGCCGTTGCGACGTCAACAGCGTCGTGACAGACGGTTTAATATCTTCAACCGTTGAGCTCCTACGACCAGTCTCTGTACTATACGTCGCATCGGCGGCGGCGGCTACGCGAGTATAATTCAGCTTCAAATATTATTTTATTTTAATTTATTACAAACATTACTCAGATGGAAAGATTTCTTATTGGAAAAGGCGCAAATAAGAATGATAAGCCGGTCGAGAACAATGACGACAAGACGATTGTATCATCAAAACGAAAAAAGCGATGGTATAAGGACGAATATTTGAAATATGGATTCATTGCATCAGAAAACGATCCCTCGCTACCGTTTTGTATGATTTATGTAAAAACTCTCAGCAAAAAATCGGTGAATCCAAGAAAATTACTTCGACATCTCGAGACAAACCATCATCAACAAAAGAGCAATTCAGTCAGTTATTTCGAGAAGTTACGATCGAATCTTCAAAGCCAATCAAAGAAGTTTAAGAAATATTTAACTGCCTCTGATCAGGCACAAATCGCTAGTTACTTGATTGCTGAATTCACTGCAAAGAAAAAAAAGCTCCATGCTGAAGCGGAGGAAATAATTCTGCGGCTTTGAAAACTGTAGCTGGATGCATGCTGACGAATGATGCTGTTAAAAAATTTAAGATTCCACTGTCATAAAAAAAAACAATCGCTCGTAGAATTCAAAATATGCCAGATAACACTGAGCTACAGTTGAATGAATGTTTCAATGATCCATCAAGAAAATGGGCGATCCAGCTTGACGAAAGCACAGATATCAGCGGTAAAGCTCAGTTGCTGACATTTTTGAAATCTGTTCGAGGAGCAATGACTGTTAATGACTATTTCTTTTGTCAAAAATTGAAAGAGACAACGATTGGCGAAGATATTTTTGAACTGGTCGACGAAAATGTGAAAAAACTATTTTATATGGGAAAATTGTATCAGTGTATGCACAGATATAGCTCCTGCGATGCAAAGCCGCGAAAAAGGTTTCGTCGCTCACGTTCTCAAGAAAAATCAAAGCGTCAAAATTGTTCAGTGCATGATCCACAGAGAAGTTCTGGTTTCGAAAGCTCTTCCTACTATTCTCAAAGAAACTCTCAACGAAGTAGACAGCGTGGTCAGTAATATAAAAGCGAATGCTCTTCAATCGAGAATTTTTGCAAATTTCTGCGAAGCAATGGATTCGGTCTACAAAATTCTGCTCTTTCACACTGAAGTTCGATGGCTATCAAAAGGAAAAGTCCTGAATCGATTTGCGTTTATGAAAGTTGAAATCGTCTCATTCATGGACAATGAAGAACTTAATTTTTCATTTCTCAAGGATGATGTTTGGTGGTTGAGAGTTTCATTTTTAAGCGATACTTTCGACAAACTCAATGAAGTAAATTTGAAATTGCAAGGATCTTAAGAAAACTTCATTACCATCTCTGCAAATTGAAAGGATCTGAGGAAAAATTGAGATTGTGGCATTCAATCAGTCAGCAAATCAAACTTTGGATCTTTTCTGACGGTCGACTCGAATCCTTCAAAATTTCAAATCAAGAAAGAATTTGAAGAAACTCTGAAATCTTTGTCAGAATCGTTTCTTAAGTACTTTCCAAATCTCGACGTAACTGAAGTGGAATGGGTAGTCAACCCATTTATGGAGTTTGAAGCCACCAATCTTGAAGAAGAGCTTGAAGAAAACCTGACTGACTTGAGAAATGATTTAATTTTCAAAAGAATCTTCGCTGAAAAAGAGCTGTCAGAGTTCTGGACACTTTAAACAGCAAATTTCCTCGATTGAGCAGCATAGCAATAGAATTGTTGGTGCCATTTGGAAACTCTCATCTCTGCGAGCAAGGAATTTCGGCACTCACAGAAATGAAGTCAAAAAAGCGCGAGAGACTACAAATGATCAATAAAGAAATGCGTGTTTACCTTTCAACAGTTGGGCCTCGAATCGATCTTATTTGCGCTGAAAAGCAATCTCAAATTTCGCATTGATCAAAAATAAAGTTTCATTGTAAATGATTCAACATTTGTTAATACACATTTCTTCCATGATTTACAACTAATTATATTTTTAATGGGGGTGACGCGAAAAAATTTTTGGCTTAGTGTGCCGCGCTGCGAAAAAGGTTGCCCGACACTGGTCTACTGCGAAACAACATAATCAATACGTTTGATCGTGTCGTTTATTTCTGTCATTTTTTAAAGCTTATATCCTGTGCTCAATTTTAGACAGCAGGTAAATTCCATATGTCGACCACATTTATTAGACAGATACGCTCTGGCATAACCAATCGGACTACAACACTGTCCCTGTTACTCACAATTCACCGACTTTCTACCCGTTTATCGGCTGCTGGAATCGAAGCATAGTGGAGTGAATTCTTCGTAAGAGAAACAGCAGTTTCGACAAGGAAACTCTACGCTGAGAATGGGACTCGAACTCGGCATCTAAAGCCGAAAGCAACGCCATCAAACGTTATGCCACTGCCTCCTTTCCCGTTAGCTGATTAAAATACTTTGAAAAAAATTGTTTTGCGTATAACGTAATAAACATAAATTTTGAATTTCAAATACTTCCGCTGTTCATACTGAAGACTGTAATAAATTATCATAATAATGCTGAAAGTATGATGTGTGAAGAAGATTAAATAGCAATGACGACACATTGCAAGAAGAACTGGCCAGCGCTGAATCAAGGATGTATCAGTCTAAATGTTAAGAGACAGCAAACGACCTGATCTAAAACCTCCAGAAGAAATTTGTTGGAGCAAAGTAAATCACTGTCTCAAAAGACAGAAATCTGTAACAGAATTTTGTCGGCCTTCGTCTGGCCATGCGACTGATGAAGAAATCACATGCGTATCTTATTTACGACCATTTCGTGTAGTAAATGTCCAACAGCTGAAATAAGAGCCTGTGTCATGATGTCAAAACTCTGTAAGTTAAGGATCGTCTGCACCACGAATGTTGACACATGACAGCAAAAACTCATAAAGGAGAAAGGAAGGAAAACAGAAGAAAGAAGAGAAAAAAATAACCTTAAGCGCAGATATATGCACAGCCTGCACGTCCCCGCCGAACTCTTCCAAAATCACGTTGTGTTCTAAAAGCTGTCGCTTGGTTTGTTCCTGAAAGCAACAAAAATAAGTAAAATAATCATGGGAGTGAGGAATTTACGATTTGCAGGTTGGCTTTGTCACACTTGTTGATAGCAACGACAAACGGAACTGAAAAATAAAACATTAAAATAAGATCAAAAGGCAAAGACTTGTGTTCTCACCATCAGCTTGCTTGGCAAAGCGTATACTTTCGATGGTTTGGTCCATGACACCGTCATCTGCCGCCACTACCAACACTACGATATCGGTCGTCTTTGCTCCTCGCGCTCTCATCTTTTTGAACGCTGCATGTCCAGGGGTATCGAGGAAAGTTATCACCGAATTACTATTGGGTAATTTAACTAAACAGAACTTTAATAAAACACTAAAAATAAAATGGCACACTCAAAAATATTCAATAATATATGAATAAAGATAAATGGAATGTCGACCTTCCCTACACTTTCATGATAGGGCCACTTCTGACGTTTTAGATCGTTTATCAACCTCGGAGAAAGAAAGAATATATACATTTCT